GGAGGGAGGGAGAGAGAGAGAAACAGACAGAAAATAGTTTGGGGGGAGGGAGGGAGGGGGAGGGAGGGAGAGGTGGAAAGAAAGCAACTTTAACTTTAAATGCATTCTCCAAGCCCACCCACCCCCCGCCCCCACGCCAGCTGGCTTGGCTTGGAGAAGGGATCTGAAGAGACAAACTCTTCTCCAAGTCAGCCGGCTGGTGGGGGGGGGGGCTTTGAGAATGCATTTAAAGTTGCTTGCTTTCTCTGCTCCCCTCCCCAGACCTCAAGCCTACCCAGGGAGGGTTTTCCATATCCAATCTGAATGGCTATAGTTTGATCTATAACCTCGTTTTGCCACACAGGTAGACCAAGCCTGAGTGACATGCTGCATTCCTTCAAGGACCATTGTCAAATCACATAATTACAAGATTACTGGGGTTTTTTTTTAAAGCTCTCTGGATCCCCCTACAGTCAACAGCATGTCCTCCTCTCTTGCTTTGATCTTAAGCCATACAAGATAACTTTCTCTGATATTTTCATGAAACAGAAAACCAATCATCCTACAATCACAGGGGCAGGACCAAGTCACATAGCCAGTTCTAGAGCACCAGAAGCATATTCAGTGTTGAGAAATGAAGAAAATCACAGAAAGGCCTAGCTCTATCGTTTGCATTGAAATAAAATCTTCTTTTTTCCCCTACAGGCAGTTCACAAGGCTGTAATGGAAGTTAATGAGGAAGGCACTGAAGCAGCAGCAGTCACTACTTTAGAGTTTGTACTAAAATCTGGTCGAATCCCTCGTTTTCCCACCTTCAGATATGACAGACCCTTTCTGATCGTCATTAATGATGACCCAACACACAACATCCTCTTTGTGGCAAAAGTTTACAATCCAGCTGCAAAATGAATATTAAGGGAAAACAGACTTTCTGGGTTACATTCGGGGGGAAGGGGGGGATATTACATTGCTGCTTGTACCAATCTGCCTCTAACAGTGCCATAACCTCATGTTTTGACTGCCAAACTTTTAGGTACTAAATGAAGGGATGCATGAAACTTCCAGCTATTTCCATGTTGTTTAACATTTGAGATGCTTTGCTTTATCCCTCCCTGAGTTCTTTTTCCCCAAAAGTCTGGTTTTGATTATTCTTTTGCATCAGCTTGACAGTGGTTCCATGCTTGCTTGCCATCTCTTTTGCAATGGATTGAAATGGGTAAAAATCAATGGAATGTTTTCTTATTCTCCTTCCCAGCATGTGAATTGGCTGTTATTGTTAGGTTTCCTTCTCTAGTGCAAATTAGATTGTCTCTTCCTATTATGCGGTTTCTATCTATTCTGCTTCACACTCAGTGCCAGGGATATTATCTCTGGCATGCAAAACAGGCCTCCCCCTCCAATCAGAATGAAGATCTCCAAGTCACACTCTTTCTTTCTTTAGAAATGCACACGGTTCAGTTCACAACTACTCTGGGTACTTCCTTGTGTGGCTATTTCCAAACATATGCCAAACATGACCCAGTGAACCTGGATTTAATCAGCTGCTCCAACTGTTGCAAACAGAATGATGGTAGCATGGAATAAAATAAATGCAAAACTTCTCTGTGCAGTTCCAGCACCTAGTGGAGGGGAGTGGGCAGCAAAGGCCAGGAACACCCTTTTACCAAAATCCGTCAATATACACAATCACTCACAATGTTTTGGAATAAAATGGCCATGACTTTTATTGGTTACAGCTCTAAGAAGCCATGGAACAGCATGGGACCACTGGATCTTGGCAATGTACCCCATCCCACTGACAAGTCAGTGTACCCCGTCCCACCCCAGCCCACCTGCAGGATGTTGGATTCCACAAGGACAGTTGCCACTATGTGGTCCCCCTGCCACTTGAGCATGAGGGCAACCCATTAGCAGCCCCTAAGCTGCGCGTGCCCTTGAAAGCTCTCACCCCATGATCCCTTAAGGGGATCCCCATACACTGGGGAAATGGGCACACGGCCTGGTTTTCCTAAAATGGATCTGGCCCCATACTGATATTCCCCCCATGGTTGTGACAGATAAATGAAGCAGAAGACCCCTTGAACAGGAACATAACCCAGGTACCCCCATAATGTTACCCTCCCCCCCACAGCGGGACTACCTGCAAACCCCCGCATGCCATCTTCTCCTAAAGCATTAACACAGGGAGGGATGGGAAGGCAAGCGATCCCACATGACCAGGTGAGCTGGCTGGGTGGTGCAGCATGCTTCCCCCCCCCCCATTGCCCCCCCTACTTTCCCTTCCCTTGGGCCCAGCTCAGGCTCCATCATAGGCCTACCTGGAGGGGGAGAGCCAGGTTTCCCTCACCATTGCCTCCACCCAGCCCCCAAGCTGCCTGCGCAGCCCGCCCTGCCTTGCAGGATATGGCCAGCCATCGCCACTGTCTCCCCTGCTGGCTCTCCCCACCCAGACAGGACTACACACGGGACCCATGGGTGAGTCAGGGTCCCAGCTTCTTCAGACATATTCAGTGCAATCCCAAACAGAATTACACCCTTCTGTTCCATTGAAGTCACACCGCCCTATTCTTTTCAGCTGGGAGAGGTCACTATTTCCAGGCTTCCATGAATACTTAACAAAACCATCCATGGTTATCTCTGACCAATTACCAAACACTGAGAAAGCATCAGGCAATCATAAAGCGTCAGGCAATCATTCTGTGCCACTACCCTAACATAAGAATCAACAGCAGTACTGTTACAGATTGTAGAGGATGCTTGGTGTCCCTAAGACAGAGCTACCCAACCAATTGGAGGCTGTGGACATCTGGGAACTCTGACCCAGGATGGTGGAAACAGCCACAAAATGGCTGCCACAGGAGGCAAAGCTGACCACAAAATGTCAAGGAGTGAGGTTATGCATAACTCTTTGGCATTCCAGGTAGAAGTTGTGCTTAACAAGATTTTTAAATGAACATATTGTTTAAAAATATTTTCATGTATACACACAGGTTAGGTTCAGACATGCAGTGAAGACCCTTGTGCTGTGGAGGCAACTGGGTTTTTTCCGGATCCAGATACGTTAGAGCCAAAAAATATCGGCATTCTCATTTTGGGGGGTTACCAATACTGTTATGATATTCCTGTCTGGAGTCGGGGGTGTGTGTCCAATATTATTTGGCTCCATTATAGCCTATGGGGGAACCTATCTGTGTGGGTGAGGGGCTGTTTTTAGAAATAATGGCACCAAAACTGTTCCGCAGCTGCTGGTGCCTTTCCACAAAATAACCCATAGTTTCAAGAAGATTAGGCCAAGGGGTCCAATTCTATGGGCCCCTAAACAAGGTGTCCCCATCCATCATCTATTGTTTCCATTGAGGGGAGTCATGCTTTCTACAGGGCAAAAGCAAAGAGCCATGCCTGCAGCAACCACTTGTCGATGCCCCCCCCGGCAAGAACCAACAGCAAGCCCATCAGAACAAATGCAGAAGCCAAGAATGCCAGCATAACCACAAGCCCAACAGAACCAATGTCAAACCAGAGGAGCCCAGCAGAACAAAGTTAAGGAGGGGGCAGTTTTGCAAGCTGAACAGAACCAAGAGCAATCCACAGAAGCCCAGCAGAATGTTCTTAAGGGAGGGGGTGCTTTTGCATGCCCAGCAGAAATAATGGTAAACCACAGAAGCCCAGCAGAACAATCTTAAGGGGAGGGCACCTTTGCACCACCAGCAGAACCAATGGCATTGACAATCCACACAAGCCACCAGAACCACAAGCCTGTCAGACCAAATGGACACAGAGATAAACATCAATATCTTTTCCCCAAAGAAGGCCACAGAAAGTGAGAGGGAGGAGGGGAGTTGTGCACCCAGATCCTCCTCTTTCAGCAGTCTGCATGCCATCACTGCCTCAGAGGAGGAGCCGAAGGAGCTGAGGCTGCCCTTCATCACTCCTCACTATTCCCTCCTCCCACCCTTGCAAAGAAGAATGTTGCACAACATACATGTAGGTTAGCTCCATTTATAGTGACTCTGTGGGTGCTGCTGGTTTAACTCCAAATGCTTGAAACACAAGTTCAGTCGAGGGGTTTCAGTGTGGGTTATTTTGGAGCACCATTAGGGGTGTCGGGGATACTGCCAAGATACTGGGTAACTGCCCTGCTGCTTCTTTCTGATGACATTTTAATTTTCAGAAGAGCATTTTGCCCTGACTCCCCAACACAGACTGGTACAGGCACAAGCATGTGCTCACTTCACTCACCCTCGGTAGCTGAAGAGCAGAAAGTTGACCTTGAGGTAGACCAACTGCTCAACACTCCAAGGGAGCAGACGTGAGCAATTGTGGGAGAAAACATGCTCACTCTGCACGCTCTTTGGAGGGCATGAGAAGAGCCTCTGACGTACAGCAGAGAGGTCCAGCCAGACCTTCTCTTTCATGGCCCAGTAGCTCAGCACATTGGTGAACTGCAACTCAGAGGGCTCAGCAAGGTACTCCCTCACCATTACAGCTGCCAAACCCTGTCTCATGCAACTCACATTCCCAGAGGGGTTGACTGCCTGCCCAATGAGCTCCATCTCCAAGATCATTTTGGTGGTTGCCACAGGGGGAGGATGCTGCCCAGAAGAGAAACAACAGCACAGCTGCTTTCACCCCCTTGTTCCTCTGCTGGCGGCAATGTGCCCCTCTTGGCCAGGATGCACTCAGCCTGCTGGAAGAGCTCATCTCTTCAGTGAATGAGCTGGCCAGCCTACTTGGCAATGCTACCCTTGATGGACAGGTCATACACAGTTACCAACATGTAGATCTTCTGCTTGGTGAGAGATTAAAGGTGGGACTCGATGCCCTCTTGCAGCCTCTGCACCAGTGCATTCACTGCTGGAACAAAGTCTGTACATCCTGCCTCAGGGTTCAGAAAGGCGGTCATCTTCTCATGAGCAGACTGGATCATGGGAATGACCAGACTCAGGGTTGCTGTTTCAGACAACAGCAACTAGGTGAAGTCCTTAAAGTGCTTAAGGACCTTGTGGTTGAGCTGGCTCTCTCCCACACAACCTTGATCTCTGACAGCAAGGTGCTCAGGCAGTTCTTCAGCTCTACCAAATGCTCAAGCATAGTGTTGGTGGAGTTCCAGCGAGTGCTGACGTTACTGATCAGGTGGTGCTTTCACATCTGTCAGCACCTGCTTCTCACTCAGGAATGGGCCATAACAGCCATCCAAGTCCCAAGATGGAGAGACAAAAATGCTGATCCAGATGAGCCAATTGTTTCAGTGTAAGGCAGAGTTGTGACCAGTTTGCTCACAAATAATGCCGCTTAATTCTAATGTTTCCTTTAAGTAAGTTCTACTGAGTTCAAAGGAATTTTCTTTTGTAAGGAACTGATACTGTGTTTGCTTATCTGGAAGCCAGTCCCACAAAGTTTAGTCAATGGGCTTACTCACAAGCCCATTGCATTCTTATTAAGGACCCCCGATTAGGATCATGCAGAAATAGTCATGGATCCTGTTTTAAGATGTAATGAGCGTGTTAAATGCAAGTTTAAATTATATCTAGGAAAATGAAACTCTCATTTGTTTTCACAGTGTGTATTTTGTCTTTTGTATGTGTTGAAAAGGGAAAGTAGTGCCATCTGGTGGGAAACCATCTGCATTTTCAGACAAGACAGTAACAATATTGTACTGTCTAGGTCAATACTGGATACCTGGCAGCTTGATTTATTCCAGCAGCAGTGCAATTATTTACCACTGAGATTATCAGTCTCCTTTTATGTACAGCTCCAGTTTGGATGCAAGTGGATACACCTTCTATTAAATTAATTCAGTATGGGCCTTCATATTAGAAACTGGTTTTATGTCACTCATAAATCTGTCTGGCTACTAGCCTTAGATGAATCTGGCTTTTGTTCCCCAGTGACCTGACCAAGTTTCTTTA